AGCTGTTTAACATATCTGGAAGGAAACCAATCAATCAAGCAATCAACTTTATTTATATAGCACATTTTAAAAACCACAAGGGTAGCCAAAGTGCTGCACAATAAAACAATAAAAACAAACAAAACAATAAAAACATACAAAGCATACACAAAGAAACATAAAAAACCATTCACATACCAGTTTCACAGCAGGTGTATTAAAAAGCCATAAAAGATAAGATCACGTGTTAAAAGCCAAAGAATAAAAGTGTGTCTTTAAAAGAGATTTAAAAACAGGAAGAGAGGAGGCCTGTCTGACACTCAAGGGTAAATTGTTCCACAACCTGGGAGCAACAACAGCAAACGCTCTGTCACCTCTGAGCTTCAGCATAGTTTTAGGGACTGTCAGCAGCAGCTGATCAGCTGATCGTAGGGATTGGGGTGGACAGTAAGACTGAAGCAGCTTAGACAGATATGGTGGGGCAAGGTTGTTCAGACATTTAAAAACAAACAGCAAAAGCTTAAAATTAATTCTGTAGTGCACAGGGAGCCAATGAAGGGACGCCAGGATGGGAGTAACATGCTCGCGCCTACGAGCCTGAATTAACAGGCGAGCAGCAGAGTTCTGCACAAGCTGCAGATGAGCAAGAGACGTCCGGCTAATGCCTGCATACAGCGCATTACAGTAGTCAAGACGAGCTGTGATAAAAGCATGGATTAATTTCTCCAAGTCAGGTCTTGCTAGGATTGGTTTCACTTTTGCTATTTGGCGGAGTTGATAAAAACCTTTCTGAACAACACTGCTGATCTGTTTTTCAAATTTAAAATCAGACTCAAACTTCACCCCCAGATTGGTGACACAGTCCTTGAGATAAAATGACAGTGAGCCAAGATCTATGCTGGGAGAGGGACGGCAACTTGGTCCAAACATCATAACTTCAGTCTTGTTCTCATTTAGACTAAGGAAGTTAAGAGAGAACCATGTCTTAACATCATTTAGGCAGTGTGTAAGTTGTTGAACTGTGTTGTTTTGTGCCAGGGGAAAATAGATCTGGCAATCATCAGCATAAAAGTGAAATAAAATGCCATGCTTCCTAAAAATCAAGCCAAGGGGGAGTAAGTAAAGGGCAAATAAAAGAAGGCCAAGGATTGAGCCCTGGGTGACACCATGTGGAAGAGGAGCAGTGGAAGACATAAAATTGTCGATTTTTACGCAGAAACTCCTATTGGTTAAATACGACCGAAACCAATTGAGGGCGACACCCCTGATGCCCACACAGTGCTCAAGACGAGAGATTAAAATGCTGTGATCAACAGTGTCAAATGCAGCAGACAAATCTAAGAGCACTAAAACAACAGACTTTCCGGAGTCTTTGGACAAGAATATATCATTTGAAACCCTCAAAAGTGCACTCTCTGTACTGTGGCGGGCTTTAAACCCAGACTGAAACGGCTCAGTGATACCATTGTCCTCTAAAACCAGTGAGATTTTAATATGACCATGACCATTATGATAAGATGTTATGTGGGGGAATGGTGGAGCAGAGGTTAGAAGATGGGCCTGTGATGGGAAAGTCGCAGGTTCAACTCCCGGTACCATCAACATCAAAATAAGGTGGAAAAGGTGAAACACCCACAACTGCCTCCGCCCTCATTGGCCCCACTCTGGTCCCCACCATCTGCTCCTAAACAGGTCTCTCTTGAAAATGAGTTCTCATGACTCAATGAGACTACCTGGATAAATAAAGAGTAAATGAAAAAAATAAAAGTTTAAAATAGAAATACATCATGAGGCCGAGGTTGTGTGTGTGACGTGCACGTTCCTGAGAGGCCACAGACAGAGTAGCTCCAGCTTTTGTTGAGTTCCTGTAGTCCTGCAGTTTTCAAGCTGAAATGAAAAAGCATCATGAATATGAACTTTACAGTCTATAGTTACCTGTTCATATAAACACATGGAGGTGTCTCACCTTGTGACAGACAATAAAATATGTAACTTTATGAACTCTAATGAACTTATAATGATGCTCCTACTCTTTGAAGGTGAACCGATGGTACCACACCATCTCTCAATTGGACAGTCTGATCAGTTTGATCAAAATCCTCCTGTTTAAAATCCTCACTGCTCAGATGAATTCTCCTCAAAGATACTTCCACCTCTTCCTCACATCTTGTTCTTTGGGAAACCTTCAAAATGAAAACAGGAGATTTGTGTCTACACAAAAACTTTGTACAAAGGAGGTCAATCTTATTTTCTATTTCCTATATTCTCCCTAGTTTTATTTTTTATATCCTAGAACTTAAAAAAACTCCAATTATGATGCATATCTGTTGATAATGAACCAATGCTACTGAAATAGTGAGTATGCTCGTTAGAAAAATATTCCTGTCATCAGATCTCAGTTAGCTTCATTGCAGCTGAACACCGTGTTACACTGAACATAACATCAGCTGGTGGACATAAATACAATACAGTAATATTATATTCTCAAAATACTAACAATAATTATGTTCATCTTACTGTGAAAAGTTATCCCCCCGAGACCTGACGTCAACAATCCGTCGATTAGAACAGAAATAAGCTGCGAAGTGCTGAGACATCTTCTGCTTTAACCAAATAAGGACGACCGTTCCAAGATGGCGGCCAAAAATCCTGCGCCGCAGCAGCCAATGCTGTATCTATGGTTTATATCTATGCACACAGATATACAGGAAGTAAACACAGATATACAGGAAGTATACACAGATATACAGGAAGTATGCACAGATATACAGGAAGTACACACAGATATACAGGACGTACACACCTGAAGACCAGTCCCAAGAATGTGCACTGTGTGAAGCTTGTTTTTATACTCTTATCAGTCTCCAGCCGAGCTCATAGACACGGAGGCGTCCTTGGAGCAACAGCTGCACACTGCATCCTCACCCAGCTTCTCATCCAACTCTCTCTCAGAACCCAAACATATGATTCATGGGCAGAGTTAACATTCTTACCATAGTAATAAAAAATCCATACATTTTGACCAAAGATTCCCTAACAATAAAAATCAAACTCAGATGATATAAAAAATGAATTTTTGGAGGAAATAAAGGCTTTAAATAAAAGTAACCTTTTGGTACAAATTTACACAAGCTTTGTGCTTGTTGCAGTGATTTGCAAACATTTTGTTATCTGTAGATGAAAAATGTCAGTGAGTACTTACTGTACATGTATTTACGTGTGTCAGAGATGTATATGTGTGTGATTTTTTCTGTTAGCACAATATCTCATGAACTTGAAAGTATAAATGACTTGAAAAAGTCATCATGACATATAGTCCGAGTGCTACACATTGCATGAGAATTTTGTTTAAATTGTTTGTGTTAGCTGTTGGATTAATTCATGTTTGTCTGTTAGTGGGATAGCTCAAACAACCGAACAGGTTTTAATGACACTGTCACAATGTAATTATCAGATCTACATTCACAGCTGATCAACTTTTGGAGTCAACCTGACTGAAGATGGCTGACACTGCTAATCAACCTACCTAACAGAAACATGGCTATAACTTAGGCAAGCTTACAGATATGGAGCTAAATGTGTGGTAGTAGCTGCTATTGTAAGACTTAGAGACAGAGATTATTTAAATGGAAATTAATGATTTTTTAAAAATTGTACAAAAAGAGATATAAAACTAAAAAGTGGTGCATGCATTTGGTTTTAACACTCAAAACCCAGGACTTTGTAGAATCTCTTCAGTTACCTCTTCATGAGCATTGACCATCTAACCACTGGATTTTATTGTCTGTTCTTCACAACCAAGTTGCTGAATCTCCGGCCATGAGCCTTTCTGGGTGGAGTTTGCATGTTCTCTCCGTGCATGCGTGGGTTTTCTCCGGGTACTCCAGTTTCCTCCCACAGACCAAAAACATGCATGTTAGGCTGACTGATAACTCTAAATTGTCCCTAGGTGAGAGAGAACGTTTTTTTTTTTTTTTGTCTCATTTGTCTCTATGTGTCCCTGGAGACGTGTCCAGGGTGTACCCCTCCTTTCGCACAGTGACTGCTGGATATGGACACTAGTGTCCCCCGCAACCTGAAAAAGAAGAAACAAGTAAAGACTAACTAACTAACTAACTAACTAACTAACTAACTAACTAACTAACTAACTAACTAACTAACTAACTAACTAACTAAC